AATGAATTTCATGTTTAGATTTGGGTTCTATCCCTAAGATATCTTATTACGTATATGAGAATATTCCAAAGTTAAAAAAAAAAAACCTTAAGTATTTTTGGTACTAAACATTTCAGATAAGGTATACTGAAACACAGATATGCATATACTGAAAAGCCCATTAACTTATTTCAGGGAGGAAAGTACAATTTATTTACTGATGGGTAAGTATAATTTCTGCCTGTCCTTAATTCTTAGTATTTTAATAATAGATGACTGTGTAATTTTCTCTTATTTATGCAAAATGTGATTTGATATGATGTTCCAATTAATAGCATCTTTTCATATCATACACAGGAACAAATTCAGCTACTTCAAACTGGATACAATATTTTTATTGGAGAATCTGAAAACAATGGAGTCATCAGTTATCATTTTAGCTTTGTTATGGAAAAACAAAATACCTTTGGGTAATATATCTTTGTGTAATATTCATATTCCTTGAGTTTAATCAAATGAGAATTTTTCTCTGGACCCAGGAAGATAAGACTAACCCTTTTAGGCCACCTTCAGAGCAGTTTTGGATTATACCTTGTGCTCTGAAAGAAGCAAGCAAACCCCAATTAGGGATGAGATTTCTATGCAGTCCTTGTTGACCAGTGAAACACTGACTTCTGTTTTGCACTACAGTTCACAGTTGTACTAAACTGAAATTATAAATTATAAATATTTAAACTATTTTTTCCAAAATACTTTCACAAATATAGTTTTAACTCCTTTATATCCTTGTGGATGGGAGGTATGAGACTTGCTTAAAGTCTGGAGGAGTAAGTAGCAGTGTCACCTGTGGAATAATGTCAGGATTTAGAAAGGTGAACTACTTGAAATTAAAAAGTAATAACAGATGTTCCATTTACCTGTTTTTAAACGTTTACAAAGTCATTTTTTGTATTGCAGTTTTTTATGTCAGTCTGAATTGAATAAAGGGCTACAGCAAGTAAAGTAAGTAAAAGGACTACTAAAAATTGCTACCAGATATAGCTTATCAGTCTACTTCTTGTATTAATATTTTTAATGGATTTTGAAGGTCATAAATGTATGATATATATTTAATTTGGTTATCTGACAACTAATACATTTTAACTAGTTGTTTTTGAAACTAATTAAAAATAAACTTCATTCATTTTATCTTTAATATATAAGATGATGACTTATACTTGAGGAAATACATATTCACAACATTTTCTTTATCAGTAGAAATGGATGGCTAATATATTTGAATATTAATGAAAACTTTCAGGTCTCATAATAACCTCTACTGATAACTAATTCCCCAACTTTGGGAGAACTAAGTATAATTCTTTGCTTTTGTATGTTTTGTAGGGCATAGAAATTCTGACCCATAAGGTTTTGTGGGGACAGAGGTATTATTAACTAGAACATACACTATATGAGAAAAGCGAGTATTAACACTTTAACTACCTTTTAAGGAAATAAGGTTGGAGTAGGTATGCTGTTCATCTAGTAGATGACAACTGAAAGTTAAAACCTGTCCTCCTTCTGCCTTATTTTCTCTAGGTAGTTTAATCATCTTGACAGTGACTGAATAAAAATAATACCTACTTACTATGTTGAAATACATATGTAAAAGATCAAAGAACAAATGGTTTTTTAGCCCTTGTCTCAAGGGTTTTAACATTTTTTTAAAATCCTGTATCCAAATTTTAATCCAGTCAGGATCACAGTGTCTACTCACAACTTCCATTATCAGTAAAAGAAATAGTTTTTTTAGGCTTGACATTAGGCTTGATAAAGATTTCAAGGTTCTTTTTGGTCTTAATGCATAAAGTATAGACTCTTCTTCATAGAAAAGTAATACAGTGGGTTGACCATCCTAATTAGCATATGGATTAACTCTTTGACAAGACAGGGTGATTAATTTCTTAGACCCTCTGTAGGGCATTTCAACATAGAATATAGTTAGCAGTTGAACAGTGAAATTGTAATATGAAGAACAAATTGGCTGTGAATTAAAATTTTGAAAACTTTCTAAATTAAATGTCATTAAGAAATATAATTGAAGTGTTTTAAAAACAGTGGCATGTGCCAGTGGGGATTAAATCTGTGCTAAAATAAATAAATTTTCATCAGTGCTAATATGATTCAATAGGTTACATGTGAGAATACGAATGATTGTAAACATGGATTACATTCAGTTGGGATACAGGGTTAAGAAACCTCCAATGATTGCTGGAAATGGTGATATTTGCTCCCAGCTTTTTGCTATGATCACTGTTCCAGCCCAGAGTTGACATCTCTCAAAGGCTATCTTTTCTAATTTCCAAGAATGTGGGGAACTCTGCATGGGGCTACAGTGGAGGCCTGCACATCATCTTCACCGTCCTACTTCTTCCTTGGTCATGCAACTTGGTGACTGATGTAAAGAAAACTCCCCTCTAATAATCCTGAGTCTCTGCCCTGTCCTTCACTAAGTAGGTTATTTAAAAAGAAAAGGCCAATATAAGCACATCTTAGCAAAGTGGATGCTTTCCTTCTAAGTGGTACGGGCATATTATTATAATCACCTCTTTTCTATGAAGCTTATTTTCCTGTATATGTGTGTGTGAATACAAAACTAATACAATCATTAACATAAATAGCATGATTAGCATGCCAGAGAGTAACAAGTACTACCAAGAAAAATAAGGCAGGAAGGGAATTATGGGGTTCTTGAGGAGGTGGCAAGCACTGTCATAGGAAGATCTCACTCTAATGGTGACTTGTGAGCAAAGATGAAAAGAAGGCAAATGAGTGAACCATCCAGACCTAGGTATCGGACACTTTCAAGGGTGGTGGAACACTGAATGTAAGGGCTCTAGGTTGGTAGGGCACCTGGCAATAGCTGAGGAACAGAAAAAGGCACAGTATGGCTGATGCAAAGGGAATGAGTGTGAGGGACAATGAAGTTGAGACTGAGACTGAAGATCAGGGTCTGCAGGTCCTGACAGACCATTCTAAGGCCTGAGAAAAGCGGGGAGCTATCTGAGGATTGTGATTAGAGGAATGGTGTGACCTAGTATGTTGTTAAAGGCAGTCTTATTGTCTAGCCATGGTAAGGGCGCCATCAAAAGAGTCCAGAGATAGAAATCTGTTAGGAGGTACCCCAAAGTTTGTACATACAACTACTGGAAGAGGAAAAGGTTTGAACCCTGGAGAAACGAAGTGTGGTGTTGGGAGGTGGGGGTTTCGCTCGGAGATGCACCTGCCTGGCTTTCAGGCCACAACCGCAACTCTGGTCCTGTCACTCTAGCTTCAGGTCCCTCTCCCAGAGCATCAGAGGCCTGGACCTGGGCACCGCGTTGCCATGGCGACCACAGTATTTCCTTTCCTGTCTCCAGCACTAGGCACTAGCTACCTCTCCCGGCTGGTGCACCGGGTTTGGCTCTGGGCGGCTCATCAATATTCCGCGGGCGACTTCTACCCGGCCCGCGCTGTGCTTCAAGGCGTTAGCGAATCCAGCAACTACAGCCCCCAGGGTCCCCGCCACCCCATGGCCTCAACCTGCCTCCTCCCCCAAGGCTCTCAGCTCAACCTGAGCTGGAGCTTGCCTGGAGGCTTTCAGCACTGGAGCGGCTCTGTCTCGCTACGCAGCACTTACTTTGCACATTGTGGCCTCGGCCACAGGCTGCAGGCCCGCGACGGAGAGGGGGCGCCCTGCGTTCAGCTCACAAGCAACGCGCCTCTGGAGACCCACTCTAAGGCATCCCCGCAACAACTCTCTGGGGGATATTCAACTTCCCTGTGTGCTGTATGATGTCCCCCGAGTCTCCTGCATTGCACCAGACCGGGAAGGCAGACATCGAAGGCACCTGCATTGCGCCCCCACTGGGACGCGCTGTGAGCAATAGAGGGAACCGTCTGCAGCAAAACTGGAGGATCCGAGGAGCGGGGAACTAGGGGGTGGGTTCTCCTAGGGCTCACCTTGTGCAGTTTCCACATGGCCCCGAGAGCCTTGACTTCGTGGCTGGAGTGTTTGCCCTCTTCCAAGCACTGGTAGCACACGGGCATCTTGCATTGCACGCAGTACATGCTGTGGTTCTCTAGCTCATGGTCTGTGCAGGTGGAGACCTTTCGAGGTCTCAGTCGCCGACTCACGCGGCCCTGGGCCGGGGGTACCAGGCGGTGCTTGGCTAGTGGCCCCCGGGGCGGGTGGCAGCGCAGACGGCACGGATCGCAGTAGAAGACGTCGCACTGTTCGCACATGACGGTGGCCTCCTTGGGCACCTTCTCACAGAGCTGGCACTTGAGGGCCGCAGCTTTGCTCTGTTGGTAGCGGTCAATTACCCCTTCCAAGACGCGGTTCTTGGGGAAGCCGCGTAGACCCCGGTCATCCAGGATGAGGCTGCGGTGACACTGCGGGCAGGTGATACAGGAGTTGCGGGGCACCGGGGCCAGGGCCGGTGACAGGTGGGTGGGTGGTGGCGGCATAGCCGGGGGAAACACACGGACGCCGTTGGGGGACTTCTGACACGGGGTAGTCGGGGCGCTAGCGAAACCTCCGTAGGAGCCATAACCGCTGTCCGCCTCGCTGTACAGGCTCATCTTGTCCAGGTCCAGGTAGTCATAGTCGGAGACCCCAGAGCCGGAGGCCCGACGGCTCTGGGGGGACTCAGACTCCGGGGTCTGCACCAGGATGTTGCGGGCGCACGCCTGACACAGATTGTGAGAGCAGGGCAGGATGATGGGCTCCCGGTAGAAGGAGCCACACACGGGGCATTTTAACTCTTCTTCCATCTCTTCCATGGGGACCTGGCTGGAAACGAGGCAGCAGCAGCTGCAGCAACGGGTTCCTCCGCTGGTGAGATGGCCCACGGGCCTGTCGTGTCCAGCACCTTGGCCAGCGGCGACAGCGGCGGCGACCGCGGTGGTGGTGGCGCCTTCCCGCGTCGCCTTGGCGCCGACTCCCTGCGATGCTCTAGCTCTGTGAGCCGCGGAGCCACTGTGCCGCGCGCCAGCCCAGGACCGCCCCCGGCTGCCCTCCTAGTCCCGCCCCGCCTGAGAGTCAAGGCTCATTGGACAGTGGGCGAGAGAGCGGGGCTATCATTGGCCAAATGCCCTGTCTATCTCCTCTCCTCCGCAGGCCTCTGGGGGTTTGGTGGTGAACTGTGAGGGTGAGGGGAGTGTTCGCTCGCGGCTGCATGATCTCAGGAGGGGGCCGGAGTGCGGAGGCTAGGGACCGGGAAGGAGAAATTAGGCGGGATGACTCATCCCTCGCCCTGCTTCCTTCAGACCTCCGGTGCAGTCGCCCAGGAGCAGGGGGGGGCGTGAGAAACCCCTTCCGCCGCGAGTGAGCCGGCGGAGGGGGCTGGTGCCTCTTGCCTACAGGCGTTTGGCTTCCAGCTCAGATCCCGGCGCCGACCCACCAGGGGCAAGTGCTGCGCAGAGCGGAGGACACCCCTTTTTCCGCTGCTGGCAGCCTGAGTGGGCGCCTCTCCAGGCCAGGGTTTCCACAGGGCTTTTTGGCTTTAAGCCCGCTCCGAGAAGCCACAGAACCCCTCATTCCGGGAGCCTGGTGGCGCAGCTGTGAGCCAGGGCAGGAGTCTCCTAGCTTCTTTCTCCCTCAATCCCTAGTCTCCATAAGGCGAGGTTTAACTAGGTACCCAGTGTTCTTGGGGGAACATCAGCATCAGTTTAGATCTATGCCCGCCTTCATTTCTCGTTTTAAATTCTGTCTCTGCTAGAGGCCGCCGTGCTTTGATGTGAACGTGCCTCCATCGCTTGTCACCCTCCCTGCTTCCCAAAGCCATGGCTTCATCTCGCTCAGCATCTAGCTTGAGCTTTCACAAGACCAGCAGGAACGTTGGTTCAGTTGAGGCAGGAATAGTTTGTCTATTTCTGAGTGCCGATGGTTTAGTAACTAGCTCTGTGAATGAATCACAGTGTGACAGAGGAGTCTGAATGTTTGACTCCAAACAACATTATTCAATGTCACATGCCATGAGCATCTACCACTGCTTCCAGCACGGGGGTTTCTTTTTGTTCTGTAAGGTGATGGTGATAGTGACATGAGTGGGATGGAGTCGGGTGGGTGGGGTGGGGACAAGAGAGTGATTCTAATGTTAGTTCTTAAATATTAAGCAGCCTTCTCTTTCTTCTCCCCAAACATTTCTGGAGATAATGGTTCCTGCCCCATGCCTGCAGAACTGTTGTTTTGGTGATTTAAAAGGCAAAAGAGAGAGCAAAAACATGAGACGGAGAGAAAAGAAAATCTTTGAATCAAATGACATTCCCAGGTAATAACTAACTTGAAATAGCACATGGGTGATTTTTGCTGAGTGACTCATGAAAGAAATGAAAAAGTTCTTTTCAGTTTCTAAGAAATCTTTCAAATTCCCACCTTCCAGAAAATATAACTTGATTATAATGCTGCTACATTTATAATTTAAAATCAATTCATTGTCTATAGCAGGTTTGTTTATACATTACTTGGCTCACTCTCTGTAATAAGAATTAGTTACAATTATCTCTATTTTACAGATTAATAAACTGAGGATAAGAAGACACTTGAGGCCTGGCTCTGTGGCCCATGCCTATAATCAAAGCAACTTCTGAGGCTAAGTCAGGAGGATCCCAATTTCAAGGCCAGCCTCAGGAATTTAGCTTGACCCTGTGTCAAAAATAACAAAGGGCTAAAGATGTAAATCAGTGGTAAAGTGGCCCTGGTTTCAATCCCCAGTACAAAAAAAGACACATGAGTTAGTAACTCAAGGCCAAATACTAGTAAGACTAAGACTGGTATATTTGAACCCAGCCAGGCATGTGAAAATTTGTTCCTTTCTTCATTCATTTGTTTAATAAATGCTGAGTTTTACTTTGTGTTAGATATTATATTCTGTGTGATAAATACCCAAAATGGTGGGTCATTGTTAACTAATATAATATTCTTCTTACCTTCTGTGAGAGTTTCTTTTTTTTTTCTTAAGTTCATTTCTCTAAAATATATTTTCATAACCTTTAAAGAGTTTCCTCTCAGGTTACACTATTTGGCCATGGTGTACTTTAAAGCCTCCCAATGAATTATGTTTAAAGGGGAATAACAATCTGAATGTAATTGATGATATTGAAGAAATATTATACTATTGTGGAATATCTTCTTTCTTCCAGCTGGTGATTAGTCCATTCCATGAAGCATGAAGATTGATAACCCTGTAATTTCATCAGTCCTGGGGTAACTGCAGATGTTCTAATTTGTGTAAAGTGCTGATTATCTTCTGAAACTTACTATTCACCCAATGGTGTTCTTTAGCAGTTATTTGAACAGCTTTTCTATTTTTAAAAATATATAAATGTTTCCAATGAAAAATAGGGTTGATTTCCTGTTTGTTTTGACTACAGTGCTTGATTATTAACACAATAGTCTCTTTGAGTCTAAAGAATGAATATAGAGAAGAAAAGATTTTCTTTCCACATTTCTTCCTAGACCTATCTATGCTTAGTTGTAGGGGCTGCGGGGAAGGTTGGGGGGATCAGTGTAAAAAGCTGGTCATATCCTCTGATACTTTTAATATTCTTTGACACACATATAAAAATATTTTGTATTGGTGGTTCAGGGCATTTGCCAAATTGGTTTCAAATTTTGTTTCATTTTTTTTTTCTTTAAAATAAATTCTGAGAAATCTACTTTTTATGAAAAAAATAATCCATTAGTGTTTAATTTTATATTTGTAATGTTTTGTCCCATTTTTAATAACATTCATTTATTGTTGATGTTCTTTGGTATTTTAAATCACATGATTATTATGGTGAAATATGAGGTTTTTGCTGTTTAGTACTACTACTAGAAGATAACTTTTTTCAAATTCTATAGCATTGGTAATTGTAAGAAATGTAATATTGATTCTTTGGGATCAGTAGCTGGAGGATCTGAGAAAATGGAGATTTAAGGAATCCTATGCTAAACTAAGAAGTAGAGGATAATCCAGGAGACCTAATTTATGAGTCATAGGAATGAGGAAAAAGCACACATGGAGGCAAAAAGCCACCATTAAAAAAATAATATCCCTGAACT